AGATATTTCTCTATAAAATATCTGTTTACATGAAATACCTTTTCACTTAAAAATCAAATTAATTTACCAATTTGCAGAACTGCAAACTCGAAAATGACGATTCTCTGACTTTGGGACAAAGTTACCCCAACTAACGGTACCAGAGCAATTCCTACAAACTTGTAACATTTATAAACACAGCAAATACAAAAAAGTATGATAATAAAACGCAATTCGACCCCATCACACGGGAAATAAATACTGAATCCGCATATGAAGTTTGCCAGGTCGCAGGTCAGAAAAGACTGGCTACTTTCGAAAGTGCAAAATCCCCAATTTGAAGGAAGAATCCAATAAGCGGATGGCAGTAGGGCGAAGATGTGGACGAAGGGGGCAGAAGGGTAATGGGAGGGATACCTGCTGTCCCCGGGGCAGAAGAAGTGGCTCGTTCGGGGCGGCTACTGGTGGCTGTCTGAATAGAAATCCAGCACCATACAATCCCCATTATCCCTCGATTTGAAGTCCCGCAACAATGGAATCTCTCAGACGCGCTTCAACCGTCCCTCCAATCTCGACGCACGAACTGGCTCTTTTGCCAGACACGGAACGAATAATTTCGACGCGTCGATTTTCACCCTTGACACTCGAAGAACATCTGGACCTGAGTTCATCTTTTAGTCGAGGTAGCTAATGTTATTTGATGTGAATTGATGTCATCGTGTCATGTCGAACTAGAATATCGAAAATTAATTACGGTGCGCATTAAAAGTCCATGTGACGAGCCATAGCCTCTGAAGTAAATCTGATGAGTACCAACTGTTACAAAAAAAAAAAGACTCCCTCCCAGCTGACAAACTTTAACAAACCTTTGTACAATATGTGTGTGTTACTAAGTTATGTAGCTATTTAATGGCTAAATAATTCAACTTTTAGATTAAACTGGGAGATGTTAATAGGAAATCGTAAAAATAATTACTGTACCTTGCTTTACTTTCCGTAAAGACAGGAACCGAATAAATACCAACCAACGGATGAAACTTTGATTAGCAATTTTTATTTACTTATAATTAAGTAAGTAGATCCTGTTTTTGAATTCGATAGAAACGGAAATCTTTCAAACAAGAATAAAAAATTCTTAATCACGTGCTACACTTCCCATTTATCTAAAAATGTAGCATAATTCAGGTATCTTCTTCTTAATTATGCCATGACTTTGAGTTATCCAAGCGTGTATCGAAGTCAGCACGCTTTGCTCGTGGCTCGGGTGCCGACGGTGTAAGTCGAAAATTAGAGGGTTTGAATTGGTATCCAAGCGATAGAAGTATTTGCGTAGCAAACGCGATCACCAGAAGCTTACCCCCACCCCCCCCGGTTCGCAAGGGTACGGTGCACATTATATACGCATAAGAGGAAATTCGAGGAAAAGGAAATTCTGAGTATTACATTGTTTACGGTAATACTACCGGATTACCATAAATGTGTTATTAATATCTCCTACTTTGAGCCTATGTCTATATACGCGACACAGTCAACAGTCTGCTGCTTCCTTTTATCCAGTTATACGCACAAGCTCGGTACGAAGCAGATGCTTCCCATTGTGTAGCAGCCACGGCAAAGCTTACCCCCATGAAATGGACGGCGGAATATTTTGTCCGGCGGGATGAAACGGTTTTTTATTTTCGCAATTTTATTGTAGTACCTTTGAGCAAAATGCCAACACTAACAGATGTTCATTAGTTTACCCAACCATTTATTTAACGGATTAAGATACTTACTTCTGACATTAATACAGGTAGGTATAGCAGTTCTGGCACTAATACCGAGTATAAGAATAAAGGCGATTACGAATTTCTATATTTTATTCCGGCAGGCGGGGATGAGATATATTTAAACTGTGAATACTATAATTGTGTTTAGAAAAAATTGAACAACCCGGTAAATATATTTTTTAATTATATTTTTCTAATTTATTAACTTATGAAAAACAGAACGACATTTTCTGAACGTTACCACTAATAAAAAAGGACATTGGTTTCGCATTTTTGAAGACAATTTGATACCCAAATATTTCCGTGAAAATTTCAGTTTAGTTGTTTATAAGAATCAGTTTTAACACTGAATTCTATAAATAGGGTTGTTCGAAAAAAAAGGATCTAAGACTTTAGGTGCTTATAGTACTCACTGAATGGAGTAAAACACGTCTAATCAACATGGGTCCTAAAATCAATCCTTTCGATGAAAAATAAAAGGAGTTAATTTTGACATTTGTTACGGATGTTCGATATGTTTTTCTTCCAGTTCAATATAAAACATATCTGTGGATCATAGATCGACATAGATTTTCGGATATTCCTTCAACATCACGTATTGCCTGTTGTCATACAACCTTGAACTACAATAATGTACCTACTTCTAAACCAATTCTTTTGTTTACATTGAATATGTTGCGAAGTGAGTATAATATAAAAGTTGAGTGTAGGTCAAAACGATTTATTTTGCTACATACCTATGTTGATGAGACATTTTCTACTTCACTCGGTGGATCTATAAGCCTCTGAAGTCTTAGACCCCTTTTTTGAACACCCTGTATGTGTATAACTGCATATAATCACTTCAAGTACTGTGCAAACGAAATCCTTTGATAGCATGTACAAAGAACTTGTTTTCACATCGACGAGTTTATCTGCAAAGAATACCCCTTCCCCACTGCGAAACCAATGAAGTGACGATTAAGGGTACCGGTTAGTAGGATCGATGAGGCAGAATGGAGAAACAACTTGGCGGACAGACAAGACTCGTGGGTACATTTAACGGTAGAACACTTCAAAGAGATAGAGAGTACATTGACGTCTAGGATCCGCTCAGACGAGTTATATTGGCATGTTTCAAGAACGACGCGTGCCTTTCAGTTTTAATGTAATGTCAATAACGGTGAAAACGCAAACACTTGGATGTTGGTCAATTAATTGGTTGGTGGCTCCAAAGAAAACAAACGCCGAAACGACTGCCAAACGTTCAGATAAAACAGATGGCTTTCAATAACGTGATGCAAACAGTATACTGCCAAATGAACGATTACCACTAACGACAGATTTCAATTCTGAACATTCAACCCCTCGCTAGCAGAAACGTTATCGTTAATATTTTATTTGAACTTAGTACGTGATTACTTGCTTATGCTGCGTTTATCGATTACATAAATTCAGTGAGCTGTAGGAATGATACCCACAAAACCCGTCGACTGTCAAACCCTTTTGTATAAAAATATATTGTCTATTTTATATTTCTATTATAAAAGGAGCATTAAACAATGAATATAAAATAATATTTCGTGACCAGTCGCATCGTGCAAAAAATACTGCCTTACGTATGAAAGATCAAAGTACATTAAACATTTTTATTTCTAAATGATTTTTAATATTGAATTTCTTTAACTAAAGTGATGCAACAATCCAGAATAGGGCAACCATTCTAGTACTATTCACTCTTCAAAATGATCTCTCGACGATGAAATAAGTTTTCTATACTCATTACTGACGATTTGGGTATAAAAATATACATAATTATAATTACACTTTTATACTTTTTTCGCCACACCACTTTGAATTATGGAACACACTTTTATAGGAAAGAAACCATGTCACATCACTAACAATGTTCACTGATTCATCCCATTTTTTACTCCCAATTACTTGAAGCACTGTTTTCTGGTACAATGCAGCGTGTAACAATATATCGACAGCCAGTTCGTTTTCTATTTCCATATCCATGTGTTATTGTTTGGATGAAACAAAGCCTTCACAAACCATCTATTCAGCGGTACGTTTACTCACAACTGCTCGCCTTTTACCATCGAAGCGTAAGATACTCGACCGTAAAAGAGATAGTGCTCAGTAAATGAATGTAGAACACGGACACAATTCACTGAATATATTAGCGAAACTGGCCATAGTTTTTACGGGACACGAAACAATGATTAAGCAGCCACATAGCAAACAAAAGATCAAAAAATTCTTTCGCGCATGATATCTCATAAACCTATACATATACTGTTGCTAGTTCCGACAGTTGTATTTATATCCCCACGTAAATGACAGTTTTAGCCCAGAGCATTCGAGCCTTCAAACAAGCTTGGAAAAATTGTTTTTCATCATATTGATTTATATGTAACAAACTCGCAACACGAAACCGTTCAGAACTGTCAGTCGTCAATTTAGTTGAAATTTGACAACGAACATCGAAAAATATTACACATGCGGCCAAGTAACAGCTGTCAAAATGGAGGTAAAAAACCAATTTTGTCGAATATCTCAAACACTATTAAAGCCACATAAAAAACGTAAACTGTTGTAATTTACCTGTGAACAACAAATTCCTGTGTAAAAATTTGTAGAAAAATCTAGATTAAGTTTAGAAAAATTTGCTAAGAGATTATATCGAAAATTAATGTAGTTAAAACACTATATTTAAAGGATATTAAGAGAAATTATTAATTTGTAACTAAAGGTAACAAAAGATACATAAAAAAAAAGAAAAACAAATAAAGATAAATCATAGAAACGTATGCACTCTCTATAAGAATTCATAGAATAAATGCACACTTGCAAGAAGCAACCGAACGCTTACATACGTTGAACGACTAAAAAAATTATTTTCCCTTAATTATTTATGGTCATATCAACCACTTGTTTGGATTATTAACGATAGTAAGAATAAGTAACACGGTTAAATGAATTCACAATTGATTGTATAATTTGATGTTTTCGATAGTTTACTATTCCTTGAATTGCTTTGGATCCTTTAAATTGTCCTAAATGGTGGATTTAATGTTAAATTGTGTTCTGTTGGTAGAATATTTTCTACAGTGATAGATGACATGGTCTATTGCTAGTACTCGGAGAATCGAGTTTTAAAGCAAATACTGCTCTGCTTTATAAACGCCAGCATTGTCGCAGGAGAATTTGGGATTACGAGTCAATTTTGTTGAATTGACTTTCCGAAAAAAAAAACAAAATCCTTACCTTGCCGCGCGAATAAGACCAATAGCTTGTTCCAGGAATTTCGTCCGCAGTAGCTTCTGAACCTTCTTCATGGCTTCAATTCTGAAAATTAAAAGACAACGAACATAGTACAGACAACCAATAAGATTCGTGTACCACAAGTTTGATATTGCCAATTTTGATAGAACTTGGTGTAACAGTTTCAACTAACTTTTGATCGTCTATTGGAACGTCCAATGTTGCGTCAAACGGCACAACTTCCGGTATTGTCCCTTCCTGCATCACGCTGGACAACTGAGGGCCAATCTCATCCCAACGTTCCTCCATGCTTCGAAATGCAGGTTGCTCATTCCGCACAGTTTCTGTTCACATTCGATATTAACGAAAATTATGCTTGCGTCTAACTAAAAGTGAAAAACTGATTCTTACTTTTCTTTCCTGCACTCTTATGCCGTTGGTGTTTGACGTTTTGAACTACTATATTACGATTATTTTTTCCACAATAATTCCCCAAGATCTTCAAAAAGATGTGTACTGTCGTAATCAGATCAACCAGGTATTGCCTACAAAGATACAAGACTTTTTACATATTTTACCGCGAAAAGTTATGTATTCAGAAAGATCAGAAAATATAAAAAGAACATAAAAAGTTTCCAATTCCTTCTATACTGCCGTTTCTATTGAGAGCGCGTAAGATAAGAAACAAAGTACCTCCACGTTTTCTCCAACCAATATTATATCATGGTATATAAAAATACCTCGGATAGACAAGCAAAAAAATATAAAGTTAAACAATGGTTTAATAAAAAGTTGACAACTAAGATATCAAGAACATACGTACAGAAAAAAGATAGTTGTGCAATAACTGTACGAAAAAAAATTAAACTCGCCGAATTATAAATTAAATTATATTGTGCAATTATATTCGTACCATTAGTTTATAATTGTATATCAACTTAATATACCAATTCTATATGAAAGTACTATCGTGCATTATTTTATATTGTTATATAAAAATGTGAAAATTAGAAACTTAATACTGCAATGTATCACTACAAAAGAAACAATAAATAAGCAAATGTCTCCTGTGTAACATGACCTACATACATACATATATAGTGTGGTGTCACATACCATTACAATCTCTTTTTTCATTTTTAATTTTGTATACATCATTTTTTAATGTATTATGAAATCTATTATCTTCCATTTAAAATAATAATTTATGTTATACTCTACTGTGTTTAATTTATCTATGTACAAAATAATTACAAGTTGTTCTTTATTCCTAAATGTAATGAAAAAATACAAAATCGCAGTAAGAAAGTATTCCATTTTCAAAACTCCCTTGTTGGAAAAGGATATGTCAGAAGACCTATTGTTCCGTCGATCACATTGGGTATACACCGAATGAAAGTTCCGTGGAATTCTTAAACGTCAATTCAAATGAAACAATACTTGTCACCGAATTAATACAGTTCTGCCGTGCGTAGAGTTTCAAAGCGGCAACATTACCAACGAAGTTTAGTGCACCCGTCAAGCCTTGTTTGCATCACCGTCACCAAGATGTCACAGTAGCGACGATATCGCGGTAAGGCGCATCGGTCTTACATTTCCGTAGTGGAAATCCTTGCAAAACCCGTCAAACTCACGGGAAAGTTGAACGCCCGTCGCCTTTTCCCATTTCGCCAGCCAGAAGACCGATAAAAGTTGTTTATTCCACCAGGAAACGCAAAAGAAGAAACAGACAAGAGAGCAGAAGGAAAAATAGCATTAAAGAAGCAAGAAAGTGAGGAGCGGGAGTAGCTTCGCGTGCCCTTGTTCGACCCGATTGATTCGAAAGCGAATCAATCTGTCTTCAGTACATAAAACTTTTAGTAAACAGTTTTTCATTTTCCACTTCTGTCTACACAATAAACAGATACTCGGAACACAAAATAATATTTAGATATTCCACTTAGAACGCCGATGGTTATGTTGCCAATTGAAAGAGAAAGCGGAACTTCCCGTAAAGAGATATATTCATATTTCCCCGTTGAATAGAAATGATCGTTGGGACTTTTTAGAGAAGATTTGGCAGGCTGTAAAATAAATACTTTCTCTGTTTATTAATACTAAGTGTCCCAATCCAGTATATTTGGTCAAATACAATACGTATTTTCGAGGAAATCAAAAGTCTATGCTATTTCAATGATATTTGCCCTCATTCTCCAATATTAACTGTCATTTTGAAAGAAGAAAGGGGTACAAAGATGATTTAAACTTTAAATGTGTGATCAGTTTATTAAAAAGGAATAGTGGATTACTTGTTGGTACATTCAATTTATTTACGAAAATTATGCTGAAATCTTATTGCTTATTTTTCTAGAATACCGTAACTTCTGCATTATTCCGTAATTCCAAATAAAAGAACTTGGGAGAAAGAAACCAGAAGAATTTCGGGTGCTAGAACCGCTTCTGACCAGATAACAACTCTTTTTTTCCTGCAAGTTTCCAACGCGTATAATAAACGACACATATCGTATAGACAAGATAGAATACTACCGAGGGACTCGTACAACAGCTTCTGACACTTTATAGTTGAACAATATGTAACCATACAGAAACTTCGAATGTAGTACAAATATTTATTTTTCATTGTATTTGGAAAAAGTTTCAATTAATGAATTAATAAAGTATGCCAGGTGAACATGGCATTAAATACGGGCTTATTCAATGGATTTTCCATTTAGTTTATAATGAGCAAAACTTGAAATTATTGGAATAACGTCATGTTTTTGAAGTTTTAAATACTGAAAATAGTAAACTGACGGGTTGCTGGCCAATAAACAAAGGAATATCAAAATCTCTCAAGATGACTACGGACTACTAAATACATTATAAGTAAATGTAGGGTTGAATAAAATAAGTGTAGATACACAAGTCGAAAATGACAAACTACAACACTTCAAATATTTCTCTTTGATTATCTTCTTCTATTATAGAAAAAGTTTTAACACATTTACCATATTGAATTACTTGTAATACAGAGAAAACCGGAATATATTGAAAAAAATATTATTTTCAGAAAAACATATTCTACTCAAATAAAAATTCACAACTTTAAAGGAATGTAAACGAAAAGAATCAATATTTTAGAATGAAGGGAATCTATTGTTTTAACTCATTAAAGTGAGTGGTATTATGAGTGTCATGCAATTTTAATTACTGTTAGACATATCTTTGATTAATGGTGGTGCTTATTCACGCCCGAAGTGGTGTCGGCAAAGTTGACGGAAAACTTCGCTGTTTAATCAGAATACTGATTTCTATTAATTAGAACTTCCCTATTCCAACACTGATTAAAAAACCTTGTATCATCAAACTTTGTTTTTTTACGTAAGATGTACACACGTATGAATACAGGGTGTCCTATTTAAATCGATCCACTCGAATATTTCGGAAACTGTCGATGATACTAAAAAATACTTTAAACGGAAACTAAATTGTTTCGAGGAGCACATAATGTGATGTAAGTGGTTCTTAACGCACGTGGAAGCGTAAAGAACACATAAAGGATAACTTGTGTTTTTTTAAATGGAATTATATATCTTTTATTGCAACAATCAATGCCTGTAAGTCAATCCCTGTAAAAAATTACTAAGCCACTTATGGCAAAAAACAATTACTTTAGAAGATATTTTAATTTTAATATTGCGACATAGTAGGTACTCAATTTTGTATAGCTAGACGCATGACATCTAACATATTATGCTTATATCAGTGACATTTTAATGCGCTTGTTAGTATAATCAATATTAACCTCATTTAATGAAATATAATTTTTACTGTTACCGAGTCAACTACCCAGCATGATACTATGGAGGTGAAATTGTTCTTAATCGTACGATATAATAATTTCTATACATATTAAATGCACTTTGACAGTAAAAGTTACATTTTCTTTCATAGGTACTATGATACAAACCGTGACATTTTAAGCTCGTCGAAGCACAGAAGCTGAGAAAGAATCGTTTCCCGATATTCCGGAACATAAAATACGTTACTCTTGATGACTTTGCTGGATTCTCTAATACCACAATCTGAGCTTTGATCCATTGCCATTAAGGTGTGTAGAAGTTCCTACAGCAAAAAAAATTATTTCCTTTTTCAGGTCGCACCAAAGGGAATACCAGTGACCGCGTTTCTCACCTGATACGCCTTTAATGCCAAATGTAATCTACGAGACCAAATTGGTATTTTTTTCTTATCGACAACTATCATCTCGTAGAATTGTTCCATTTGCCTTTGTACCAAATGGAATATTTCCGTTGATATTGTTTCACTGTGAAGAAGCATTTCATCACAATAAAGATAGAATATTTTTAAGTCAGTATTAATTCGTAATTGACATGTAATAAACTATGACTGATATTAAAACTGTGATTCCACAATAAAATGTTACTACACATCCATCAATAAAAAAATGTTACTATGCAATCATCAATGTATTTCTCACTGACGTGTTCTTTCATAGTAAAGTATGTATGTAAATTGTATACTGAAAGATACCTAAAAGAAATAATCTCAAAGAAGCATTTCAGGAAAGCGACAATACATAAAGTGGGTTCAAAAACTATCCCACTTTGCTTTTTTTTGTCAGGATTTATTCAGTAACGACGTGTGTGTTTTTATCCGAGAACAGAAACGTTGCTTCGACGTACGTACCTCACATATTTCACTGCAAACTTGTAATGGCGATTGAACTCCATGAAGAAACGCAAAGCCCAAAGATAGCATGTTGTTTCCGAATAATCGCTCTGGTTCCCTACTATACATGTTCTTGCATATCGCATTACCGGGTTATAAGCAGCGTTCAAGAATTCCACGCAAAATTCTTTCAAGAACAGTCTCACACTGAGAATGGAAGTACGTTCGCTTCTCGGATCAGACATAGGACGTCTGTTTTTTGGCTTCGTCAATACGTTCTATAGTACAATAAAATTTATTATCATTATAAACGCATTGGATAGATGAAATACATTTTACACTACAGAAAGTGACTTACAAGGAAGATTTCCCAACCCGGAGACGCCGATTTCAATGAAACTTCGTACGTTTCTTAAGCAAGCAAACATAAGGGACACGTATTTTTTTTATCGGCTAACGTTCACTTTAAGGGGGTGAAACCACCCCTCAAAGTTTCGACCCAGAAATACTATCTCGAAAACCAGAGGAGATACATGAAAACTTCTAATGGACAAGTTTTATGGTTTTTCATGTACAATAATATGGTGCTAAAAAGTTGTCCAAAATACAATTTGTTTATAACAAAAAAATTTTGTATAACTTTATTTTACAATTTATTCAAATTTACATAATGACAAAAAATGACGAACATTTCATTTCAAACCATTCGTATATATATTTATGAAATTGCCTCCTACAGTTTCGCAAATTTTTATTATTATATATCCCGTGCACACGCCCGCTGACAAGGAAGGTTTCCCCACCCGCAGATTCTGATTTTAATGAAACTTTGTGGAATTGTATAGGGCAATAGGAGTTATGCAAGGAACGATTTTTTTTGGCTGACATTCACTCTAGGGGGGTGAAATCACCCCTTAAAGTTTGCCGAATTTTTCGTTTTTTCAATAGGATAGGAAAAAACTTTTAACGACAAAAGTGAATGATATTAAAAGACCTGTCGAACTGTAAAACAAAGAAATATATATATATATATATATATATATATATATATATACATATACATACATATATTCAGAATCTGCGGGTCGGGAAACCTTCCTTGTCAACGGGCGTGCGCACGGGATACATAATAAAAATTTGCGAAACTGTAGGAGGCAATTTCATAAATATATATACCAATGGATTTGGAATGAAATGCTCGTCATTTTTTGTCATAGTGTAAATTTAAATAAGTTTTAAAATAAATTTTCTCGTTATAAACAAATTATATTTTGGACAATTTTTTAGCACCATATTATTGTACATGAAAAACCATAAAACTCAACCATTAGAAGTTTTCATGTATCTCCTCTGGTTTTCGAGATAATATTTCTGGGTCGAAACTTTGAGGGGTGGTTTCACCCCCTTAAAGTGAACGTTAGCCGATAAAAAAAATACGTGTCCCATATGTTTGCTTGCTTAACAAACGTACGAAGTTTCATTGAAATCGGCGTCTCCGAGTTGGAAAACCTTCCTTGTTAGAACAAGTGGAATAATAGGGCGGGAGATTAGTCTATATGCGAAGTCGAAAGTGTCTAACACAATTTTTTGTATTATGTACCCAAAATCGATACATGCTTCGAAAAATGCTACAAACATGATAACACAGTACACGTAGCTTATAAAACAAATTATTTTACTGGAAATTGTCTCTTAATGACGTAAATATCAGTTGACGTGAATATCGAATTCAGCATGTAAATGCCGACAATGGTACACATGACCGTGAACAGTGAACGTGTTAATATCTAAAAGCTAGTTTAAAGCTGGGTACAGTAAAGGCTTCATGTCCATAAGAGTTGGATAGGAAGTTCCTCGTGAGAGTTTCTCCTTCATTCCCACCACTGGGGGTGGGAGTCATGAAAACTGTCAAGTGCATAATTGACCACCCCCCCCCCCGCCCCACGCTTTTGTTGCCAACACGCGATCCTTGGGAAAGGAATGCATTGATCTGTGAGGTGTTGGAACGATTCGCGGTACACCGTGAAAGTTTTAAAACGGTCCCGAGTTTCTAACTTTCATGGAACCTTTACTGTATAATGAGATACGCGTTAAAAGTGACCCATTTAACTGGCGTAGTAGTAGTGAGTAAGTATACTATACAGTCAGTGTAAATCTCGAAATATACAGTGGATACAAGAAGTATATGAATTTTTAATAATCTTATAATAAATGTATTAGAAAAAAGGCAAAATGTAAGAATATACATTTTACAATAGCAAATTGTAGAAATATATTCAAAGATCCTAAGAAGACATCATTAGGGAAGACCCAGATTATGAATTGAGTGAAAAATCCTTCAGGAACGCCTCCCGTTACATTACATACGATTTACTTTATAAAGTACTGTTCAAAATAACTTATATCTTTTACGATAAGTTTATAGTTTCAACAAAATTCCAAAAGAGCGCCTATGTCTGTGCCATTAAGTCAAATATTTGGGAAGACTCCTTGTAACGGAGTAGGATAAATATCGTGCATATTACAACGCCGCTACCAAGGTGACCTACTTTATTTTTTATACAGCAATTTCGTAAAAAGGCACGGGAGGAAACAAAAGGGTCAACGGGGCGAGGCGGATGGAATTTCATAAAAGATATGACGGGTAGTCGGTAATCACTTCAATTCGAATAGCCGACAGGCATGTGACCCAGTAGATTTATGGTAGTTCGTAATGAAACGAGTTATGTAGAAGGCTGGCTAGGAAAAGTTTCTCTGTCCTCAAATACGGATGTCTCGTCGGAGAAGAAGACGGTAATAACAGTATAAGGGAGACAAGGATGTCTCCTCGTTCGAGCAGAACATAAGAGGCAAAAGAAAAGGAGGAGAGATGTCCGCGAAAGGAGCGGTGACCCAGTTTTAAATGCTTCAGCACCATTAAGCAAGGAGCCAGTTCTAATTACGCGAGAATAGCCCTAATTAACAGCCGTATTTTCATTCAAATTCACCCAGCCTCATTTCCACTTACTCATTAACGGGTACCACCGCTGGAAACCAAAAATTAATTGAATGGATCGTTTCCCGGACTGATACCTCGTTTCCTTCATTTATACGGAATAGGCAAAGAAACATAGTGACTTGAAAATTATACGATTTTATATTAATTACCTTCTGTTTGCCGAAGTTCAATGCCTCGATCTTCTGGTAAGGTTTGTGACATAACAGCTGATTTTCACCAATGGCTTTCATATTCTGGACGACGTAAGTACCGACGAAATGGGAATGTCTAAAGACGGTATTAAATAATTTACAGGTATTCCATGTATTACTCACTAATTACAATTTTATCAATTAACAAGCGTGGGATATTTTTCCATTGTAAGAGATCTCTTTAATAAAAAGTGGTTATAATTAATTAAAAGAGTTCTTCAATGTTTCAAGTTGCAAAGGTAAATTTACTTTCCTTCCATCTGACACACAAGATATATGCTGCTTTCAAGTAATTAAAGGGAGTAATGCAATATACAAAGGATTAAATCCACTTTACTACACCCGTTATCTTCGCTTCACGGCAAACATGAGTTTCATAACAGTGCCCATCTGATACAGAAATTTGCAAACTGTCATTCGGTTTTCATATCAATTGGAATCACCTCGCATATATCAAATGTCGGAGTACTTATTATAATGAAGTCTAGTATTCTCGACATCATATCCCACATTATGGTTAAAAATTTCAATGAGCAATTATTTATGTTCAAAATGTAATATATCATAGAAAAGTAATGAGAAATTGAATTTGCATGGGTGAACAATTGGTTTGGACAATTGAATTTACATGGGTGAACAATTGGTTTGAACAATTCAATTTACTTGGAAATTGGAATACAAAATACATTTGTAGAAGTATTTTTCTATCCAATTCTTCTCCCTCAGAAAGTTCGTTCCGCACGAAGATCTTGGTAAATGAACTTCACTTCCGAAATGAAATTTCGAGAAAAGATCAAATTTACAATTCTAGCATATATATGAATCAGTATGCATAGAGAATGTACTTGCTAGTAATTGAAAAAGAACTGATCATTCAAATCCAATTTCAACCATGACTTCTGAAAATCCAATCAATGGAATAGAAGAAGGCTGTCACTAGCAGATAGTTTGCTAAACGACGAGAGCGCATTTTCTTCCCCTAGATTTTTCTGCGTGTGAAGCGTGTTTTCAACGGCTTTTTCACATTCCTTTTAAACAACTGACATATTATGTAATGAAGTATGTCATTTCGATAATAAACAGAACTAAAAAATTCGAAGATTGTAAAAAAATCTCATACCGATCATTTATCAAGTATTACACACTATAGAATGAGAAATATAACATTCACGATAAACCATTACCAAACAAGTATGACGTACCTAATTTTTTCCGTAATGTGTATACTTCAAATCAAAATTTATGATGTTTTAGTTATTAATATGTATGTTTTCATCTCTCTTCGAAGAATTGCATAAGAAAGTATTAAACGTTTCATTATTATTTAATTTACGACTTACTGTTTTTTGTGAAATTGAAACGTTTAATACATAAATGAATATAAGTAGATTCTACAGAAGAAAAATGATACAATAAGTATAATGCGATAAATTTTGTAGGTAATGTGCGAAAAATTCAACTGTTCAAGAAAGAATTCGATTTAATATATTAAATTTAAAATATATATATTACTATAATTTTTATTCTTTCATCTTTAAAACATCTCTCTTAAACCCCGGATTGGTTCACGTTCCGCTGTCGTTTTCCGTTCGAGTTGTTTATCGACTGATTTTGTGAGGTGAGCGCAAAAAGGTCGATCATTTTAGTGCTTTTGAACCTTTCAAATCGCAAAAAGCTTTTTACTGGAAGTAGCAGCGCGTGACAAAAGGATTCGAATAATGCATGATACAAGAATGAAACACACGTTCTTTGGAACAAGTGGATAAAAGCCTCTATTCAACTAGTGCGTGGACTTACTTAAAAACCAGGTTGTATTCATTACGCGTCTTATACTACTGCCATCGCCCACACACCATACTACTTCTGTAAAACTGACCCCCGACCTGTATAACTATTCTCTGTTTGCAGTAATACATCTGTATTTACATTGATACGTTAAAATGAAAATAACATGTTTCCCCATCGAGAATAAATAAATTCGTGACGTACAATATGTCCAAAGCTGCGGACATATGTATACGTATTCGATGTATAATTGAATCAACTGACGTATACGGGTGACTCTAGTTCACTACAGGAGCTACAAACACATGAGTATGTCACTTCCAACAATGGTAAAAAGCAGATTATTGAAAAGATTATAATAACCTAAGTTATTTCTATTCATTAATTTCTTTTTGAATGCATGGCAAATGTCATTGTTTCTTTTCTAAATATAAATACAATTCTTCACGGATTCGCAAATTTTCTACCTTGCTTGAATCAGTGTGTATACATGAAGTCAGTCTTAATTTTGTGTGCGCTATTTCACGCAATACTGTACAATTCGAAAATGTAACATAAACTACTTTAACATTGTACTGCAAATTATATCGTTCAAATCTAAATATGATGTGTATTTAAAAATAAACTTGCTTCATTTATTGTCATTAATAGATAGCTTCGGTGCCAGTAAAAGTTTGAAACTCTTGCACCTAACATATTTATTCCCAATTTATGTGAAATATTTTTAAGATATTTAAATTGCAACCAATACAAACGTAGATAAAATACTTAAAGGGGATAAAGCTCACCTAGCTACAGCATATTTTCTTATTCTGTCCATTTTCACTAGCTTCTCTTTCTGTCGAGCGGCTAAGAGCTCCGCTTCGTCTCTTTCTTTTTCAGTGGTACTACGTTGTAAACCGGACGTTGCTAATTGACTTGCATTTTGGTCACGCAACATTAACGACACAATCTAACAGTATTTAAGATAATGTATAAACACTAACAATATCGATATAATGTACTAGAAATATTAGATAATTAAACATTAAATATAAGTGTTTTTAATGTACACAAAATATATTAGAGGCACACCTAGAAATAAATTATTATAAAAAGAGAAAAATCATTTGGCACGTACCTCTAAAACTTGTAAGTGAAACTGTTGTTCACTACTGTTATTAGTGATAAACAGTAACAAATCAACAAGCCCCGAAGCGTTAAGGGCAAACAAAACCTGAATCAAGATGTAAAGGTAAAGTTTAAGCATAAACTACAAGATATTACATTCAATGTCATACCTCATCATGAACAGTAACATCATTATCAAGACGATTTTCATTTTCCTCAGGAAGAATTTGTAACACATTTCTAATAAATATAAGAATTCTTTCAATCATTGTTTCATTGTCGTCTCCTCTTTCTAAACTATTCTAGAGAAGTAAAGAGAGAAATATGTAAATTCATGACAGATGTTAGTTCTACATACATTTGTACATAACTTGTATGTTCAACAAACTTACTATTTCGAGAATGTTACTTAAACGATTGTTTAGAGTTGCCCATATCTGATCATCAGTTAATGCTGCCTTATATGTTTGTGTATAATAAATAAGTTTTTGATATACACTACGTTGCATTTTTTCAGTAGGTATTTGTTCATTGTAAAATAACAAAACAGGACTGGTCAGATTTATAATCAACCTGATTAAGCAAGAAGTTAATGTTATAAAAAACATAAGAATGAATTAAATTCTTTTCAAATATATTTATACATAAAAAGCAAATTTAATTTGTGTTTTTCTTGTGCATAAGTTATACATATATCTTATTACTTGCCTTAATAGTACATCCCAAAGTTCAATTTTATCAGAATGTTCAATAAAAATTTTAATCAGATCAGTTTGAAGTATCTTTGTTTGACCAAGAAATTGGCGCACAACATGATTATCATCATCTCTTCTTAAATACTTAATTAAATCTTTTATAACATCTAAGATTAAAGCAATAATTTTAATATTGGATGATTAAGTAAATCACTTGACATGAATGGCACTGCTGTTAATGAAGAATCATTTTAATTTGTATAGCATAATTTATTGCCTCACCTAAACAATGTTTATCTAAATGATACTTGGTCCCATCATAATAACCAAGTGCAGCACAAGTTGCTACAAGTTCAGTAGAAAGATAATCTGACATAATCACTTTCCTTGGACTGTAATTTCTAATCTTACTTCCCTTATAAGGTTGTAGTTATCATTACTATGAAAAATTTCTATGAATTGCCTGTAAAAACCAATATCATAATGTTATTAAAATAACATTATATTGTATTATGCAATAGTTGATTGACAAAATGAAATTCAAGACATATACATTTCATAAATAAATATTCGAAACAAAAATGCTTTAGATCTGTATAATTCTTTCCGCGTATTTCTCGTTATATTTGTAATTCTAATATTTCATTGTTACTCTAATATTATGAATAGATTCACCATCATTTCTTGCATAATTTATTCGAAATTCATAAATAAACAAACTTTCTAAAAGATGTTATTGTTACAATAACTTTAACTTAAACAAGAACTCGAATAAAATTGTCACGTGCAAACGTTCGGCGTCAGAATAACCGGCGTGCGCAAAATTTGAGGTTATGATTATTTAAACCAGTTACAGAGAATACATTTATAATAACATGAATATTAGAACTTACGTAAACAAGGACAAGCTAAATGAAGATCTTATTGAAAATTTGACACTACCACTGAAAATGCACAACGCTTAAAACGAACATCAATAAAACTATGCACGCACAGAAACGTCAAACGCAACAGGTGATGAAGAGAACGCGGGAAATAATAGTTTGCCCCCCTTTTACGAAATTTCCCGACAGAGTGCTTTCGACTTGTACGAATCATGAACAATCGATAAAACACTAGCTACATTGCAATTATTGAAACTCTGTCAGATGCATATCTTTTTATTTCATTAACAAACTGATTACATGCAATTTTTAAATTTACTTAAACCCGTTTAGAATAGTTAAGATTCTTAAATTACTTCTTGTTATACATGATCCTTACAATGCAAAGGTTCCATTGAAAAATAAATGTATTTGGATCAATTAAAACTCCCGAATACCCATTTTGTATAAATTAAGACATTCTCTTTTACTTTGTCTGAAAAAGTAATTATATCAATTTATTATAGACAAAGTATTTAAAACGTATAGTGAAATAAAAATTTATTACTCAAATGTACCGGTTAAACTAATTCTTCAAGTATCCTTTTCTGTTATTCATACTGTTTTATGTATAGGAAATTATAAATAAAAGCGTGATAGTGTTTTAATAAAATAACGAGAATTAAAAGAAAACCACTAAAACTATATAATTCTTCTTATTCTCATAAGAATTTTTGTGAACGGTTTATCTAACGTTTCAAGTCTGTAATAATAATTTAACTGAGAAATAATTTTGACTTTGGAACACGTCCTATGCACTTGTGAATGTCTCTTCAAACTTTTCAAAACTGTAGTATGCATTTTTTATTTTCTGCATTTGAGTAGACTGGAATTACAACAAAATTAACCTTTTTACTATTGCGAAACTAGTTTTGGTTCCTACATATTTGTTCATTATAATCATTCCAAACATGCTTATAACACTTCATTAACATGATAAAACACTTCACTCGCTTTAATAAACGTTCAATAAAATTCAGTAGGTATTTACATGTATAGCAGCATATTGAAATGTAGGAATTTGTTTTATAATTATATATTTTTCGCTATTGACGTCCTAAGATACACCGTTTCTCGTAGTGAGACGTTTTTATAATGTTTATTTTTCTAATAACAATTATTCTAGTAATTTCTGTATTATTTTCCCTTCGTAGATCGGGTATTTAAAAATATTTTCTTCGAATTTCATTTTATTTTAATCATAACGTGTTTAAAAGAGTTGTTCTTAAATTCCACTAATTGTAATACTAAATGTACAAGTGTGATTAATTGTGCTTAAAATTCAAATTGGGATATTCCTTTTTTCTTCGTACTTAATTACTTGGAAATTTTTATGAGATTGTACAGCAGACAATCCTCATTGCCTGTCCTCTGGTTCAATAAAAAGTAAAATCGATTTGTAATCAACATTCAAACGATCCAACTATCTCTGGATGAGTTTGATTGGACGACGAATTTATTCCAGTTTAATCATTTCCTCTGTAGTTAATCACTTTTCATCTACCACTGAACATAATTAGTAATGTTCCTTCCGTTTACCACAATTTTACATAGTTTCTCTATTCACCTGATATGCGCTACTACTGATCGTATTATACATAACCACATGTATTACAAAACCATATGAACTTTTTCCGGTACCACATATTCAATATACATATAAAGGAATACTTAAGTGAAGAAAGTAGTATGCTATGTCTTTAAATTTCATATTAAACGACTAAACAATTGCGAAATTAATTATTTTTATAATATGCGTTCACGTCTAAAATGTGCAACACTCTTTTGAAACAACCTTTTCCGAAAGCAGAATTTACGAATAATTTAAAGTCGCAAAATCAAGCGAATCACACTGTCGATTGAATATTTGATTTGTGCTCGATCAGAGGGTTCTCTAGATTGTTGAATCTAAACTTGTTTTGTTTCTCCCGCCGTGTTGGTGCGTTCTACTTCATGAATTTTTTGTCTCGGTTTGATTGGATGACGCGAGACATCTTCCTTAGGGGTGTGGATCAGTCTACGCCCCAAGAAATATGACAATAGGGTGGTGAACGGCTAAAACCTGTGTAATACGGGAACTGTCAAGTCCATAAATCTATGTAACTAACAATTTCGATATACATATGTATATGTGTATAAATATATAGTGTGACAACATGAAACAACACAGTTGAATAACTCTGGTACCTTTGCTAATGAAAACATACGCCACAGTTAAGTATTGCTTGATTCCGAAGAAGATACAATTTAATATTAATACTTATTTTTAGGTCAAGACATGAAAGAGATATGAAGATCAACTTCATATTCATAAGTGGTAGTATATCTCGTTTCCTATTTTCCAATAGACCGTGTTAACATACAAAAAAATTCCATTTGAAAGTAAAGAAACATTAATTTTATTTATCGAAATAATTCCATCTATAGAGCAACTATTTTTACAATAGTATGGTTCCCTCTATATAGTGTAACTTTGAAATAAAAAATAAAGATAAAATCCTGTGTCGCTTAAACCACTCTAAACACACCTAACGAACATGCGTGCTTATTAGTTTTTCCAATCTAGTTTCGAATTTGAAGATGTCTACTATAGTAACACAATCGCCAAAAAAGGGAAATATCACTTCGTACAATTTTTCTGAAAAATTTCATGAGTAACATTGAAGTATATTAACCGCATAAACGAGATCCGTTTCTGTAGACTATCTTTTTTTCACGCAAAGAAAATCCATGGTTGTCATGAAAGGGAAGCAAGGTGTCCATTATTTTTCTATAATGCCGAGAGTTGCGCTCCACGTCGAGCAATCTGCTGTAGATATTGTCCACAAAAGGGGGAGAATAAAGCCATAAATCCAATTTCGTTGCTAGACTATACGAAAAAGAGCCTGGGATGGCTGACCGATGTCACCGTGGTAAAAATGTGACGAAGAGAAAACTGCTAAGCGAAGTTTGGACATGGGCTGCATTGGAGCAAGGAGGGATGTACTATTAGAAAAATTTAAACTACAAAGCGAGGGTGGTGATAACCCTTGTCATTCAGAGAGCACAGTGGAGAGAAAGGTTGTATTTGAGTGCTACAGCGACAAACATGCGCGGTGACTAATCAATATCATTGGGCCTATCCGTGTCAATAGGTTATCGGCCATATTACTGGATCTCATCACCACTTGCCTGTCTACTTCGTTACTTTCTCTTTTTGTCTCTTTCCTTCGTGCTGGCACCCCCTGTTTGAGTGCAATGAACAAGCAGTGATTCAAACACAGCTGTCGACAATTGGTCCTTTTTATTGCGTCCATGGTTCTGCTACTGCATACATCCAACATGCTGCACCGTTTCGGATAATACCTCAACCACACAAGATAGTTACATAAAAACTTTAAACAGAGGATTTGATAGTTTATGTATATATTGCAATAAAAAAATTAATGAGTAAATGTTAGAATATATAAATAAGAAAATATAATTTAAAAAAATTAGAAATTATTATGCATTTACACATTTATTATATATTTAATAATAATTTTTAATTTTTATTTATATATATATATATATATATATATATAATATCTGTTATAATTAACCACTTCTTGTTATTAAAATTAAAAACACTATTATAGCATCTTTATTAAAACTTTATGTACTATCGCACAATCTTATATTGGGATACGTGCATATTACTGACGGCGTATGAAATAATAGAATGAAAATCCTTGTGTTCTTAATTTTGAACACAAGAAGAATTTAATTAAAACTAACCGAAGCTAAATCTTTCAATGGAAACAATGGATCCTGTTGATTCACATGATTTTATTTTTTGAGACTATTCCATAGACTTCATCACAAAGTTAAAGTACCACTAACTTTGAACTTTATCTTGTAGAACGAAGGGTAGTTCTGAGAAATCTGTTAGGACTACAAATTCGTTGGCTTATAGACAAAGTTTCGTACTCCTGAAGAAGAAAGTTCTATCTTTTTTTAGTATCAAGTCGTATACTTGCAAGAATATTGTTCCCTCATACAAAATACTACAAATATTATGTTGACTTTCTAAGAGCATTCGCTTGCAATACTACAAAATTGTAATCTTAAATAACATAGTTATCCTATTATTAAAATCATGTAAGTCAGAGACCTATTAATAAATTTTGTATTCCTAACGAAAAATTACTACACAATCGTAAATCAATAAAGAAACCTAATAACCTAGTAGCAATTTGTTCTTATTTTGATTTAAAGGAAAATTAATTTGTACCTTGTTGGTAAGCAGAAAAGAGTGCTGACACCACAAACAGTAGTAGCTTCACAAATTTACCTTTAACTTAAGGACGATAATATATTGTAAGGGACATATTATTAAAAAAAAACACATGAGATTTTAACCCTTTGCACTCCGAGCAATTTTTAATATGACCTACCGGCAACTCCGAGTCATTTTTATTATGAGCAACCACCT